ATCTTTTGTTCACTTCCTTTAACTCACATGGTTTAAAAAAAATTTTACTTACTAACAGCTCCTTCAGAGTACAAAGCTACTTTATTTGGACAAAGTTTGCAACACGCACAGAAAAGCTTGAGATGCACATCCAGCCACCTAGACCCCGAGCACTTGGTGATTACAACCAAAGCTCAGAAGCTTACTGGGGAAATCCATGGGCCCTATTTACAGTATTTCTATACATGAAACACAAACACATAAGCAGCTTCTGAGAATAGCTGTACATTACATGAAAACTAAAAATAGTGCCATGCTCTAAGATTTTTCTCAAAAAATAATTTCAAACTACAGGGTTTGAAATAATTAGACCGTTTAACTTTTATTAGAGCCAGAGTCAGAACATGATTATATACAATATATCCTCCTTTACACAAAATGCATTTGGCAGTGTTTCTGAAAACTATACATAAAAAAATTTAGAGAGTGTTATATTTTTAATAGGTCTGGATAATATGCTAATATTTTTAAGGGTTATGGCAGTTTTTGTTTTTATAAAGTAAAACACAGTTGGATAGTCAATGTGGGCCTAAAAGTTTGACCTATTTCTTGACAAATCTTGCTGTCAGAATCTCATGGACATGACCACTTTCTCTGCACATGATTTTCTGCCAGTGCCTGGGAGAAACATGGATCTCTTCAATTATCTCATTAACTCACAAGGCCAGGAACTGGCAAGCTTAGGCGGTCATCAGTACTGGGTCCTCCCATGCCTGGGGCAGGTTGAGGTCCATTCCTGGCCTCAAAAGAATATAGTGCTTGGAGGGGAACAGTGCTCAGCACGGAGATGTCCAATGAAGACTGCTGTCAACAGCACAACTACACCCCTACGCTAGACCTATTCTACTTCCCCACAAAAACAAGCAGGAAGGGAGATGGACACGAAGGGGAACAAGTGGACTCTTCCCGGCAAGGCAACTGCAAAACTCCGTCCTCAGCAGGACGAGAGGGAGGGAATGGGAGGGAAGAAGATGAAACACGTGAGTGGTGACACTTCCATCTCGCCTCAAGACAACGGGGCTGAAGTGGACCACATGCTGAAGGGCTGGAAAGGGAACACAAAAAAACTACTCGGGAAGAAGCAGGATAAATTTGACAGGATTTTGACCAATTGGAATCCTTTTGGCACGGTGTTTTCCCCACATTTAAATCAACAGTAGGGACAAGCGGCAGGGATACAGAATGGTCCCCCAGGGCGTGGATCACTTCAAGTTCCTTTCTCAGAGCATGAGGCCGATGTTTAAAAGCCTAAAACACGACCCTCTGAAAGAACAAAAAACACCTTTGAATCCTGCAAGAACGACGTCTAGCTTTCGGGCACATGGACGGACGGACACCCCGCCCCCACCCACCGGCGTGGGCCACCAGCAACACGCTGCACTGTGGACCGAAGTGTTTCAGAGGTGGGAGCTGTATTCTGCTTAAAAATGTTTTATCTGTCTGTAGGTCTGATGCATAAAGACAGTCTCGTGTGCAAAGAGCAACACCATCTATGATGTTTCCGGAATGTGCCGTGTCTTCGTCCTCTAGGAAGCTCTTCCCGCTCTGCACTCAGGCCCACGGCTCCAGCGTCCCCGGTTTGCCTCGTCTCCCGGGACGCCCTTCTCAGCGGAGCTGTGTGCTGCAGCAAAGTCCCGGGGAGCGACGTAGCAGCTGGGAGATCATGAGATTCCAAAAGAGAGGCTGGGCCCCTCAAATGGGCTTTTGGTTGAAACACATTTCTAATAGATAAATCAAATGCATCCATTTTGTGTCAAAATAAGAACTGAAGATAGTTTTCTCTAAACTTATAAGATTGATAAAATTCAGAAATAATCATACATTTGGAAAATCTGAAAGGAATAAAGACAGAATAATCTGGGAGTCTCGACAATTTTCCAGAAAATGTGCTGCAAATTCAAGAGTCACAAAACAACAGAATCCCAAATTTCCAGTTATGACTTAAATTTGAAGTACACATTTTACATCATGAATCTGATATCCTAAGACATGAGAAAAAGTCACACTTACGGAGAAAACCTTCATAATCATTAGAAAGTTTAAAAACAAGACATTGATACTGAACGTATGAGTAAATCCCCTGCACCGGCAGCAGGCACTGGCTGGGAGGGCTGCGGCTCACCCCACCGTGATGCCTCCGCCTCGATTTCCACCACTGACTCTCGGGACAGCCCTCTGCAGAGGTTTTTGGTCCACTTCATTATGAAGTTCTCGACTCACGGCTTCTGCTCCACGTGTGGAAGGGCAGTGAGCGGCCTCGAAGAGACAACACTCCACTCCAGGGCGACAGGGGGTCGCCCACTGGTGCAAGGGCAGTCTGAGCGAGGGCTGGAGTGAAATGAAGAGGTCTTTTAGATCAGCGCTTCCTGACACGCCACCAGGGCCAGTCTTTACACCCGCAGAAACTGCACAAAGAAGTAGGTCTGTGGGGTTTTCTCAGGAAAATGATCCATAGATTTTCCAAAGGCGTTTGTCTAAAACTTCCAACATACAAAGAACCATTGTTTTAGGCTCATTTTCCCTGTGGACTTAGGTGCTCTGTGTACCTGAACTCACAAAGATGTGTTCATCCCTAGGTACAGAGTCAGATTTCTGATTTCTCAGTGATGTACATTGTTGTGAAGTATACGGTGACCCAAAAAGGTACAGATATCCCAAGAAACACACAATGCTCTTCTAGTACAAGTGAGACCAACATAACATTTAAATGCAAATTTAAGGTTTTATTTAGAAGTTTCTAGGAAGCGATCATCAAACACTAACTGTATTCATGCCATCAATTCTCTACTATGCCCAGTGGTCTGTATTATTTTCTAAAGTTATACAACAGGGATAAAAGATTCTAATATATAATATTTTCCCTATTATCTAAGATATTTAATTTGAATTGACTTCATCTTTGAGCCACATGCCCATTTACATCATGCCAGAATAAAATCAAACTCATTTGTTAGGAAGTGCATCAATATTTCCAAAGATCACATACCACTGCCCTTAAAACGCTGTAGCCTGCCAGTGGGAACCATCCCAATTAGCATCAGAACGCCACCGCCACAGGCGTGCATGCTCCCTCACGCCAGCTCCAGGGACGGACCCCCTCCCTGGGTGCACTCCAGGTTAGCAAGGCAGAGCTTATCCCCACCCCCCACCACCACTTTTTATTCTTAGGTTCTTAAGTTTTCCCCTCTCTTGGGTCTCTTTCATTTGTACTCACAGTTGTCAGAATCTAAGAAGGTCTGTAAAATATTCATTCCAGTAGGGACCAAGTTTTCTCCTGCCTGGCTAATTCCTCCCAGGTATATCAAATGCCCAGGCCCAGTCAATACTGTGGCTAGAATTGGCTAAGAGGAAACATCTCTACTGACAGAAGTATCACAGAACAGGAGTTTTTAAAAGCCAGTTGTAATGGGAAAGCAGTTAAATAGGCAATAGCCGCTTACATTAAAATGTAACTTGACTTTTAAAAAATCTACCTCATGTTTTCTTTGTGCCTTCTATTAAATGTATATCAACCAGTTGCTCTTGAAGCAGAGCAAAGCAAAAAAGGGGATGGGGTATTGGGGCTCAGCTTCCAAAAGCCTTCTCATAGAAATTAGTATACTAATTCCAGGAATACTGGATAATCTACCAGTATAACCTGCAATAAACTAGGACGTGAACATTCTGCTACACTACGACTCAGTCTCTTTCGTTTCCTGCAGTCTCTTGATCATTTTCCAAGTTGCTCTTAATGTGGTCTTAACAATCAATCCTCCCCAGTTTTGGTCAAGAGTTGGGAGACACTCATATTCAACCATCAAAATAAGTCTCTGCCCCAGAATGTTCTTCGAGTCTCTTAACCCCAGCAGGAACAGGCGAGAGGAAAGATGACCACTCGAGGACTGACTCTCCTTTCAAATCCAAGTTCTTCACTCATTCCCATGGTCAAGAATACCCCGTCCACACTGTGAATCTACAGGAAAGTAGGCCACAGTTTTAAACAGTGTTCAGGGATGGGGAATATAGTTAACTTTCAATTTTTAAAGGCGAAATGCTCCTTCCTGGAGACTAAAGGTTTTCACCCAGCAACAGGAGAGAGTGAGGAGGGGGGAACTCAGCTCTCTCTTCCACCTCATTGGCACCGCAGTCCTGCACAGCAATATCTACTTATGAAAACTTGCATCATTTTGCCACAAATGTAACTGGATATAATTTGGGTAGAATATGCATATTCTAATATAGACCATTCTGAGACCACTTCCAGGTTGAAATTTTGTAGTTACTACCTTTAGGATTGTCACTTGATGATTTTTTTTGTCCTTCTTCTTTCTTCCTGATCAGTAAGTACCTCTGATCTAAGTAACTTACACTCCAAAACAGACAGAAAGAAGCTGATCAAATAGGCATGGGGAATTACATGGCCTGGAAACTAGAAGTTCATGAGAACCCCAAAACCTTCTGAAGGAAACTGTATCCAGAGTATGAGACTAATGCTGACAGCTGATAATCTGAGACATGCATGCCAACTTAGAAGCACAAAATTATAATATCTGTTCTTTTATATACTTTTATTAAATCTATTGATTCACCTAGTAAATCATGTATATGAAAACAACATTATTTCCAGGGTTCCTAAATATTTCCAATATATTGAACTTAGGGATCCAAGATTCTGAACATGCCATCACCAAAAAAAATTGCAAACCTAAAAAACAAAAAGGAAAAAAAATTAAACAATGTCAAAGGAAAAGACTTTCTTAGAAAAAGTCAATATTTACTTTTATAATTTTTAAAACATTCTAAAATTAATGCTTTTTCTCATCTTATAGTTATAAGCTCTTAAGTCTAACATTAACGTTTACTTAAAAACCACACAGTTGATGTACAGCAAAATAAGTATGAAATTATACTCACACATACCCCCTATTTAATTATCTAGTATTTATTAGGTCAAAATAGCTTCACATGTACAATTTGAGATTTTAAAGTAGCATTAGTTTTGTCTTTATTTTTTAAAGCTATCATCAGGGTGTCAGACACTGAGATGCATAAATGAAATTATAGATTTTGTTCCTGTACAACTCATACCTGTAGAAACTACTCTTTAAGTCAATTAACAGTGGTTAAAGTCTCTGTGCCTCTATTCTATTAACTTTTAGCACACAGAGTAAGGAAGATATGCTTCACAGTTCTTCTAACCTCAAAAAGGGCCAATGTAGATAGGATTTTTTTGAAAAAGAAAAAGAGAAAAAACAATTTTGTTTGGGTAAAGGTAAGAAATCAGAATTTCCAAAATGAAAAACATCAGTAGTTGTTTCTCATTAACACACAGAAGTGAACTCTATCTATAAACAACTCTACTGTAAGCTTAAAAGAGCATACTATTTTGACCGGCCTATTTAATTATTCTATAGAAAATTAAGATTCCAGAGTTCACATTTCCAGAGACATGGTAAAACACCGACTCTGCAACTTCTTGTTGTGCACTGTGTTTCTTTAGGACCAGGCTAGGCTGGCCAGTGAGGCATAAACCAAGGGACTGCAGATACAGCACCACTGCTCTCCCAGTCAACCTAAACCAGCCGACTTCCACGGCGGGCTCATGAATGATTTTTTCTTAGTGCATGTGAAAAACTCTCCCTGTCATTACAGAAAGTCACATACAAGAAGAAAAAGAACACATTTCATCACTTTTCACTCAACATCTAAAATTGAAGGGTAAGAAAATAACGTTTGTAGAGAAATGAGGTAACATATAGAACCGAGCTTCTAGAAGAAACGTGAGAACATATGACTTTTTTAAAAAATAAAAAATGTCAGTTCCTTAGAATTTGTCTTCCAGAATGGGGTGAAATTTTACTTTCTCAGCATCTCATCAATTAAACAAATGCACAATTTAGGCTAAATATAAGTAAACTTGTGATACTACTTTTGCTATTACATGCAGTACAGGAAATAACATAAAGAACTACTTATTTAAAATAATGGCTTAGTAAATAAATCTGAACTAGAACAAAAAACCTTATTGGACTTCTATTCCTGGGGGAGTTAAGCCTAGTAACTGCTAATATGCACTGCTACATCAACTTATTTAATGGGACATGGTTCATTGGAATAAACTTAGGACCGTCCCCCACAAAAAGTTTTACTATAATGAAAAAAAAAATCCCAATTCTATTCCCTTCAACTATAAAATATATTTTGAACATGAAATAATTAAAGCAGAGTCAACTAACACAGGTAAAATAATTAAAGTGAAGTTAACTGGTAAAGCTAACAGTCTCAATAGGCACTTTACACTTTAAAAAGTAAAATAAACATATACAGAAAACATCAAAATTCTTTATCATAGAAAAAGAAAGCTGTAGCAAGAATTCTTACTCTCTAGTCTGAAAAACCTATGAAAGTTTGCATTCCCTTTTGCTTAAGGGCAAAGCCTATTGGTTTTCAGAAAACAAAAATTTCAATCTGCAAATTCCTAAAGGCTCATGTTTTTTCATATAATAAATATTTTGTTGCTGATTAAGTAGGTCAATGGAGCTAATTTTCTAAAAAAAAAAAACTATGTTCAAAGAACTCTAAAAGGTTTAATTAAATTAGCATGTAGATTTATGATGTTAACCCTTTTGTGAAACATTTGAACCAGTTAAGATAATGTTAATATGTTGTTTAATACCTTTTGTTTATTAATACAACTTTAGAAAGCTTTTAATCTCAAAAAGGAAGGAAGGAATTGGGGAAGAAGAACAGACATGGAAAAGCATGAAGGCCTCTCTCTCGGGTTTGCCGTTACCATTCAGTCTGAAGTGGTTTCAGGACGAGGCGATCGCACACCTTCTAGCCAGAAATCAGATGACCTCAAACAACCCCATTTCAGGCTGAGGCCTCATGTCTTTCGCTTAGAGCTAAAAATAAAAATACATGTGAATGAACAAATGATCATGGAATGAAATCTCTAACATGACACTAAAATATAAAATATTAGAAGCCATTTTTATCACAGAAAAATGAAAATGTACACATTTCTACACAGAGAATCACAGTCCTAGTTTGAATGGAAGGGTGCCCTAAGAATCCTGTTAGCTGCTGGGTATAAGGATGACAATTTAATTCCAAGTCAGTCCTATAAAGCTAAAGTAGTATTTCATTCATTTCCTGAGATAAGGAAACATTTATTTTTTACAGAGTTAAACACTATAGCAATATCGTTAATGAAATTAGACAGCCACTTAGCTCTTCTTTACATATATATAAACCAGGGCAAGAAAACAAGTGTGACACTGACCAGTAGCAGTGGCCTGGCCTCCAGGAACATATTTTTGTATATTCAGAACTCTGACTTCCAACAGCAATGCTAGTTGGACGTGAAAATCAACCTGTTTCTCCAATCAAAGTAAGGCATTCACTCATTCAACAAAAGTTGAATGTTTCTAGGAAGTCAAACGCTGAGATGACAGACAGGGTCCCAGACCTCACCATGAGTCTGGAGTCCTAATTTGGGGTCTCAAGTGTGGGCTATGATGCTAAGGAGACAGACAGTGTCTCCACAAGAAGTAGGAGGGCAGTATATATTAAGTGACAATAGAAAGAGACTGTAGGATTTAAAACAAAATCCACCGAGAAGCCTGAATCTTTATGCTGCCAGTGACCTCAAATCATAATGTGTCTGTCTCTTCAGTGTGAAGCTTATGTTTTCAAAATCCTACATTAATCCTGGAAATTAATTTTCCCTTATTGGGAGAATGCTGATAGTTTGCTGGACAATGCAGACATAATGCCTCAGACTATTTCTGAAAGGTTAAATCAGCCAAGTACCTTCAAAAATCACTTAATGTAAGAGTACTTCATTCAACGAAAGCCACAATTTAAAATTCAAAAATTTTGCTGGCAAAGTTACACTTAAAGAATGGGACCTAACTATAGTGTAATGAAGATAAATATTTTATGAAATTTTTTATACCATGCCTATGCCCATCAAGTTAAATATATTTCATAAATTATGAAGTAGAGTCTATACTAACATTATTGTTTAATATTTTGCATTTCTCTGCTGGTTCTATGCATGCCAATGAAATTCTTTAATTTTGTGGGAATATGATACATTACCAAAAGACATAAAAATATATGCACTTGATTCAATTTAAGCCTTATGTTCAACTTAAAACAAAAGCAGTAAACATGTCTCTGAGTTAGTTTATCCTCTATAATTTTTCATTGAGTCCAACTAAATTTAATACCAACAAATATTACAAAGTTAAATGGTTTTACTAAAAGTTCATAGGTCTCAGAAACATGTTTAAAGTAACACATTGCAATTTATGCTTACATGTTCAGAATAAAGAAGAACTGGAGTCATATCTAGGTTTTAAGCAAATGAATAAGCTCTGAAAATTCATTTCCCACTGATGTTCATAGGGAATTAAGTCTTATATTCTGAAGCATTCAAATTTTAATCAAGAAAAACTGTATACTGGCCTTATTTGCAAGCAATCAACACTTCCTCCTTTACCATGTAAAGCCAGAGAGCCTCACTGTTTTCAGTTTGCAGTAAATTTCAGAGAAAACATTTAATAGACAACACTTTTCTACTTTACACCTTAAACATTCACTCATCTATAAATCTTGCATTTGTCCTGCATCAACGAAGAGAAGCTAACCCCTAACTCACAGCTCTGCTCAACTCATACTTGCTGCCATTCTTTGGCAAGAACTATAATAAAAGTAGCAGGGAGGGTTCATTCACCGACCCGGACAGAGCTCAGACTTTCCCTTCAAGTCTTAAACCCTCATCCGTGTGACAGGCACAGCTACACTTCTCCTCCCACGTTTTTTTTTTTTTGGCTCCCACCATTTTATGTTTCGTTATAAAAGTTACAATCTAAACAACAAATACTGTGACACTGCTCTTCCAAGTCCACAATTTCACCACTTCTACTTTGGTCAAGGCCTTTGATGATGATAAAGTAATGAGATTCTCATGCTCAGAAGATACTTTCTAGCTTACTAACTTTACGCTCAGTCTTAAGTTATACTTAGAAAACTCCACTTGTCACTTTAGGAATGTTACATTGAGGTCTCCTATCTAATAAGATCAATGAATTCTAGTGAGACAGTTACAAATTTTGACAAATTATAGAGTCAGATTTCTATAAAAACAAGTCCTATTTAAGAGCGCCCAATGGCAAATGCAGTCTCATCATTGACAAGCCTTTCCTTAGTTTAGATTGAATCTTGTTTACAGAGAGGGTAAGCCCCACGATACATGGGGTGAACCTGCAAACTGAACACCGAGGTCCCCTCTCAGAAGTTTGCCTCTCCTTCCAGTACTCGCAAATTCTAGAAGCTCTCATCTGACACAAATGCCTCTCATCTGACCTAAAAGAAACTCATCAGCTTTCCTAATTCACGTGGGGATCCTGCAGCTTCACATGTGCAGCTTTCCCAGTCCAGACAATACTCTAAACACAACATATTCTACAGTCAGAAAATCTCAAATGTAAGGATTTCACAGAAGCAGCAGAATGCCCCCACCAAACAGTGTTGAAGCAACATTTAATCATTTGGAAAACTTAAGATTAGATCACTATCTTCATTCTTTAAATCAAAATAAATTCCAGATATACTACATTTAAAGTAAAAAATATGAAACTATAAAACTATTTGAGCAAAATGTGGGTAAAATTTTTAAAAATACATTTAAAGCACAAAAAGACTTTAATTATGGCATAAAACCTAGAAGCCCAAAAAAGGACACAACTGATTTTTTTATAAGTGGCAAAAAAAAACCCCACCCCAAACCAAATATAAATAAACAATAAACTGAAAAAATATTTGTAACAAATATTAAATGGATACAAATTGCTAACAAAAAGATAATCCAATGAAAAATGGGCAAAAATTACAGTTCACTAAAAAAACCAAAATGACCAGTAAGGACATGACAATATCTACAAACCCACTCACAACTAAAGAAATGCAAATCAAAATGAAATGCTGACAGTCTAACAATGATTATCAAGTATGTGGGGACCAGGCACTTGAACAGACCACTCGGAGACGTATAAACTGGCACTAACTTATGGAAGAACAGAAGCATAATCTACCAACTTTTTTAAATCCTCATGCTTTTGGCCCAGAAATTTGATTTCTAGAACTAGATCCTTCAGATTCTTCTAAAATATAAACAAAAATATGTGTACAAGAAGACTTTACAGCTACACTATAGCAGTATTATTAATATGAACAAAAAAAAAAGAAAAAATCTGGAAAACAATCCTCTTGTCTGTTAAGGAAGCTGGTTTAAAAAACTGTTACTTCTCTTGTAGCCATAGAAAAGCTTCCTAGGTATATTACCAAATGCATAAATGCATAAGTGATGCTGCTGAACAGTTATACAATTCCATTCATTTCAAAAATATTTTTGTAAAGGAGTGCAAGAAATAGGTGTAAGGGAGGAGGGAAGGATTACAGGAAGGAAATGAAAATTATGGAAGGCTACACAAGAAACAAAGCACAGGAAAAGTGAGAAAGGACTTTTTACTTTTCACTTTATACGTCTACAATGTAATTTTTGTATGATGAATAATTACTTTTATAACAAAAATGTTTTTCAAGGATGCTTTGCTATTATTTCGGCATTTCAAAATTCTCTGGATTGAGTTTCTCAAAACAGAAAGGGATTGACAGCCTTGATTGAGTCAGGTCTATCCTGAGCCACTCTGTCAATGTGAGAATTCGTTCAGGGCCAGAACTATGGGAGGAGGTGCTTAGATACCACGCTGGATGGTAACGACCCATGTGGCACAGCGCTGTGCTTCTCTCCCTTGGCCACTGCTCACTTCCTGCAACATTCTATAATCCACACACCGCCTCGCCAAGCACAACGGTGTGCAAAGTACACTTTCGCTCCTGACTCTTATAAGTAAGGAGCATGTCACAGGTTTGGAGTTTACTCTTAAGGACTTAATGGGATATTCACTAGCACAGTGGGTGCCATAAAGTTTGCGGTGATCAATTGTTTTAGATCTCTTCCATCTAGAGACACGGCCAACCCAGTAAAACTGCTGTTGCTATAGACTAATTCAGTGATCTTAGATTCTAAACCCAGCTTCTTCAAAAGTACAATCTTCCCACTTTATATGACACCTACTATTACAGACAGAACATATAAAACTGGCCAGGCTTCCCAGCAAAATGTCACTGAAGACAATCAGTCTCCCAGGCAGGAAGCAGAGCAAAACACACTACAAAATTATTTGTCCATTTCACTCTGCAGTTCTCACATTTGCCCCAAATCAACACTAGCCAGAGACAGATTTCTTCCATTATACAGCTGAACATTCAGCAGGACAACAGGGGGCATAATCACCCAGCACGACTGGACCTTCGGCACTCACAAACCCCTCCACCCCCAAAAGTGACAAATGACCCTAACAATCTGAATGCATCATTTCTGATGTGAGCCACGCGTGTGTGAGCACTGGCACATACAGATCCGGAAAACTTTCCACTAGCATTCTTATTTATCAAATACGAGATTCTTTAGCTAGTAAGCCACGTAATCCAAAGTGCCGTGGCTTATCAGCGGACTGACTCATACTCCCTGTGTTACTGGAGCCCTCGTGATGGTGGCCCTTTGGTGATGGTGGCCCTGTTATTTCCAAACCCTTCTCTCTCACAAGTTTTGCCTCCTTTTCTCCTAAGGGTGACACAGGCCTCTTTGTCCTCGGGGCAACTCTCCTCTGTCACATAGCTCCGTGGGACCCTATCCCCGTGCAGCGTCTCTCACACGCTTCCGCTTCCATTTCATATTCACTTCTGTTTCACGTTCACTTCCGCTTCCATTTCATGTTCAATGCTCTCTTCTTTCTCCCTACAGATACATCCAGTTTTCCTGATCCCAAGACCAAACCGCAATCCACTGCCTTGAACACACTGCCACTTCAGCTAATGTCTTTCTTTCCCTTTTTCTTTACCCTGGGACTGCCAACAGTGAGCCACATTTGTTTTCATTCAAAAAAAGTTTACTGAAGAATATGTGTCTCGGAGCATAAACTGACGCAGCCCCTCCCTCAGGTGGCTTCACTGCATTAATAATCAGACATGCTTACGTGTTCCAAACAGTAACTGTCATGAAGGAAAAACACCTGGGCTCCCAGAGAGCAGAAACCAGAGGACTGAACTGAGACCTACACACCCTAGAGGTGTCCTTCCATTTGCAGGCCAGGCTGGTGCACAGCCTGTGTGGCCTCACACAGCAGCCCCAACGGGACTCCTAGAAGAAGTGACATTTAAGCTGAGATCCAAACACTGAACAGGAATTGGCCAGGCAAAGAATAAGAAAGAACAGGAGCATTCCAGGGGCAGGGAACTAACTGTGTAAAAGTCCCCAAACAGAAGAGAGCTTGGTGACCTGGAGGATCAGGAAAAGGGCCACACAGAGGGAGGATGCTGAAGAAGAGAAAACAGGCACGAGAGCCAGACCCACTAGTCTGGAAAGGCACAAGAAGGAAGTTGGACTTTATCCTAAGTGCAAGGGGGTCTGCATTTATTTACGGCCCTGACTTGCTCTTGGCAGTGTGGCTTCTACTCCTCCCATTCCCATAAAGGCCAGCTGAGCATTCCTGAGCCACAGAATCTTCTCCATTTCAACATCTGACTGCTCAACTTCAGAAAGGACTTCTGTTGTTAGTGTAAAAGCATGAGCTGTCATTGATTTTTGTATCCTCCACGTATTAAGCTTAATATTTTGTATATAGCATGTGCTCAAAATCTACACAGTAGACAAACAGGTCTTGGAAGAAAACACATCGATGAAAAGCTAATAAGAATACAAGAATGTGGCCAGATGCAGTGGCTCACACCTGTAATCCCAGCAATCTGGGAGGCCAAGGTGGGAGGATTACTTAAGGCCAGGAGTTGAGAACAGCCTGGACAACATAGGGAGACTGCATCTCTATAAAAAATATGAAACGTTAGCCAGGCGTAGTGGTGGCACACACCTGTAGGCCCAGCTACCTGGGAGGCCGAGGCAAGAGGATCACTTGACTCCAGAAGTTCAAGGCTGCTACGATTGGGCCACTGCACTCCAGCCTAGGTGACAGCCTACGTGACGTCTCTTTAAAAATAAAAAAAATAATAATACAAGAATGCAACCATATTTAATAAGATTTCCTATTATGAAGTACATGTGAAATTGCCTTATTTGCTTACACAGTAGTGAAATATTTATGAACTCAAACAACTCCTTTATACAAATGCCTACTATAATTTGATTAGTCCATAAACACAATGTTCAGATTATGCTGTTCTTTGTTCTTCCACAGTAGCTGGGTATATAGGAGTAGTATAGTTCTCCCATGTTATTATTATAAAACTCAGACAATTGACACTCAGGTAAAATATCTGTTTAACTGAGCCTTTGACTAGCCTTTGACTCCTCCAGGGACCTCCAGTGAGTGGAATCACACAGTCTTTCTGTAACTGGCTTATTTCACTTAGCATGTCTCCAAGATTCAACCACATTGTAGCATGTGTCAGAATTTCCTTTCTTTTTAAGGCTAAATAATATGCCATTGTACACATATGCCACATTTTGTTTATCAATGCATCCATGGATGGACATTTGGGTTGCTTCTACCTTTTGGGTCCTGTGAATAATGATGCTACGAATGTGGATGTACAGATATCTTTTTGAGGCCCTGCTTTCAGTTCTTTTGATAAATACCCAGGAGTGGAACTGCTGAATCATATGGTAATCCTATTTTTCATTTTTGAAGGAACCATTATACTGTTTTCCATAGAAGCTGTACCAGTTTACATTCCCACCAACTGTGCATGAGGGTGAAACAATCATTTTTAAGTCAAGTAGTACTGGACAAAAATTTAGAGTTGACAAAGTGCTTTCATATACTTTACATTACATAATCCTTCAAATACAATTGACTAGCTGAGAGTTCTGATCTGTTGGCAAGTATTTGTGATACTTATTTCTATTACCATTCTTTCTATAATTTTGAATAATGTTCTCTTCTAATCAGACTGGTTTAAGCAGACTACATTATATAATATTAGATATGTAGCTAGCTAAATGCTAAAAATATTAACAGTGCAGAACCTCTTCCAAGGGAAGACTAACCTAAAACAGCTACAAGTATCTTAACAAAGAGCTTTGACAAATACCAGCTAGTCAGTTACTAAGTAATTCAAATTTGTTGTTCTTATCAAAGGCAGAAAAACATAAACTACTTCTAAATAACAAAAGCAGCATAACAGAGTATCAGTAAGAACTCAAAATTCAAATAAAATTTTGGGGTAAACTCTCTAAATATCATCCAGCTACAACATTCCAGAAGAACAAACACACTTCTGCGATCTGCTTCTATAGTTCCCTCAGATAAACAAATAACTTCTTCATGATCTTCAAAAGTTTAGGACTAATGTTGATAATGCTACCTTCCCAGGGGAAAACTCGGCTGGAAAACAAAATACACAATCGTTATCTAGCAATGGAATAAACAAGTTCACTAAGACTCTAAATTAAAATTTAAGTGACTAAACTTTAAAAGTCCATGCCTTACATGTAAACAAAACTATCTGTAATATTTTCTTCACAACTTGCTTTACATTCTCAACAACCAACAACCATCTGATTGCAGACCTTATGCTCTTGTCATAAAGTTAACTTGAAAAAATGCTAGTCATTATATTTTAAACATAAAGATTTTTCATTAGGGACTTTTTTTTGGACAAATACTCTAATCCAGAAATCTGCTTTTCTACTTCATATTGGTGAGGCAACGAAAGTGGTCATATTGCACAAAGATATGCCCCACCTTTAAGACCATCTGCTACAAGGTGAGGCCTGACACGGTTTCTTTAACAATACTATCACCAACTTCAAACTGGAACTAAGAATAGAAATAATCACAGCTCACATATATGGTGAGTAAAAATTCAAATGTGCAGAGTTTAAGATACTTGCCTATATATACATTTAAGATACTTGAATATATTCATATATAGATATAAGTTCTATATATAACTGTATTTTATATTTTTAAGAGGTTGGATCTCAAAGTCTAATTTTACCTTCCCCCCAAAACAAAACAAACTATTCTCATTTCAGTTTACTGGTAGACATCATTTGGAAATAAACATTGCTGTAGTTCCGTCATTATGTTCCACTGGTCCCCACCTAAGAGTAGCTGAATTTGTGTTCTCTCTTGTGGGATTGCTCTTCCTATATAATTTTCATGGCTTGCTAGCTCAGCTTTGTAAGGTATCTGCTCAAATGCTAACTCCTCAGGGAGGCTGCCCTGACCAACCTCTCTAAAACAGCCCTGTCTGCTCAGCCAGACCCAACCAATCTACAACCCCTTCCTCGTCCTGTCGTGAGCTCTCTTCAAAGCACAATTTACACTAATATATTTT